GAATGTGAGAAAACATTTTTGCTTAATGATGAACTGAGAATTTCTTAGACAAAGATTTCAGTGCATTTAACAAGGCACTTTCCATTATCACTTGATTGCACTCTTCAAGAAATTAAAAATGCCAAACATCATTTTAGAGTTTTCTATGCTGATGACAAGACCTGCACAATTGATAATGAAGACAGTTATTTAATTGGGGGAGGGGGAAGGTTATGCTTTGAATCAACCTCAGAAGGGCTTCAAATGCAAATTTTTTGGAGGGTGGGGAGAAGTCTCCTAGGACCAACATAGAGAATAGTTAACGATTTGTGCCTCTTGGAATTTATATCAGAAAAATTACTCCAGGGGGATAAATTATATGATTGTAATGTTAATAATGTTTATGCGATTTTGTTCTTCAATTGTTGATTCGATTGTAAACCACTTTGGGGCTTCCTTAGCAGGAAGAGATAGACAAATTTAATAAACCTAAAACTAAAGCAATAAGTACACTGTTCTGTACATTATAACATGTCTAGGATTTCTGTTCCTTGAGGGGGAACTTTAAAGCTGCAGATTCTCTCAAGATGAAAATGCCATTGATAGGATTTGTTTGCTAAGCGTCGCTTCAGCTGGCCCGGCCTCCCCCTGCCCAGGCAGGCAGGCTGGGTGGCACAGCCCTACTCGGCTCAAGGGTGGGGGGGGGGGACACTGACTCTGGAAGTGTTGGTGGCTTGCTCATCCCAGGCCCCAGCAACCTTTGCTACATTGCTGCTACAGTATATTTTCTGAGGTGAGGAGACCAGAACTCTATACAGTATTCCAAATGTGGTCACAGCATAGATATGCACTATTGGCAAATAAGTGAATTGTTCCAACATTGCTGCAGCTAGTAGAAAATTTGTCAGTGTTTTAGTGCACATTCCCCGTAATGTACGTGCCTTTGTAAGCAATTTCTGTTAACAGAATGCAATTTTGTATGTTATGTTCACTCACACATTTATTTTTTAATGCACGCTTTACCCTAATACATGCATTTCTGTCCATATGGAGAATTGCATCATAAAATTCAGAACTGCATATTTCAAAGGATGGCTGCCTTTTGGTTTGTGCATTGTTTTGGCAAGTGCAAATTAGGTAGTTTTGCATTAAAATGCAACCCAAACCAAACCTCTCCCCCATCCCTACTTTTGTGTAGGGCTCTGTATGCTAAAGATGGGAGGGGAGACACCCACAAGAGGGCTGCACCCCATAATGAGCTCTGGAGCAAAATACGAACAAAAAAACCCATGCTTGATGAAGCAAAGTCTGCATTCAACCCAACACACACACATTCTGAGCTATGCTCTTCTACATGGAAACTTGAAAATGGGTGAAACAGGCATTTCAATCCAAACCTTCTGACTTTTCACTTTGCTGGTCAAACAGACACAGCCTTGCCTCTCTGACCCATCCACACCAGGCATAGAGCTGGTGCGCTGGCCAAGCAGGTAAGCATCGAGCATTCTGCAGTGATGCAGAGTCCGGTCAACCTATGAGCTGCTCCACTGAGTGAGGCCATCAAGCACCTGCTGCCTTTCTTGTAAACAGACCAGCGGGCTGCGGGAAATTATGTCCCACCTGCTAGCAAAGGGAGGCCATAACCTCTTTCCTGATTACCGTATTTATCCTGTGGCTGGAGATCAGCCAAGTGTTGGGCATCTGCTCAGCACTGACTCTCTGGAAAAGTCACAGAGCTAGGTTCTCCCAAAGGCTTTTTGCGCTCTCCAGAACATAGGCTTTTCTGCAGGCTAACTTGCAGGAGGTTGGGGTGCAAGGAGCTGGTGATTGCAGGGGTGGGGGGAGAGCAGGGCTAGCAGCCCTATGTTGGACTTTCTTCACCAACTGAGTTTGTGCAGTGACAGGAGCAATGGAATAAAAACTAGCCCACAATATCTTTGCTTATTTTTTATTTTTAAATAATAATCAAACAGCTGCAACTCACCACTCTACACATGCCAGTACCATACAAAGCATTTGGTCAACTTTAATACCGTTTTCAAAATAATCAATTACCCTATCACATCACTGCATTTGGTGCAGCAGGTAAACACCCCCCTGCTAATTAGTTAAATTGTTAAGATACTACAGGCGTGTTGAATTGTCAAGAGCTCACAGATGTGCTGCCATGCAGGTTATAATTACAAACACACACTTCTGAATAGCACCATTGACCACATCAATAATAAGAAAACCCAACACCTTAATGTTGTAAGAGAGTGGATGCTGGTTCCTTAGGATGAACGGGGCACTGCTCCTTCTAGTTTGCCTTCAGTGTTATCACCCCTTAGCTGCCTTGCTGCTTGCGACCAGCCCAGATGGCACCTGCTGCTAGCTTCCTTCTCCTCAGTATCCGTGTTACCCCTGTACTGTAGAACTCTTCAGGGAGGAAGGAGGGGACAAAACGAGATTTAGTTGGCTCTTCCTGTCACTGGTTCTTGCTACACCTGTTGAAAGAACCTAAGATGATTCTGCTGTCTAGTCCAGCATCCTGTTCTAACGAGGCCAAGCAGATGCCTGTGGGGAGCAGCCCCCCAAAGTGACACAGGACTTCTCTTTCCTGCTCACAGTTGTCAGTCTTCTGTTGATGCCTTCAGCAAACATGGACGCCCTACTGCTCAACATGCCCACCTCCTTGGAACTTCTTCTGCTCAGGGACTCTGGGCCCAAGAGCATGACACCCCCCCCCCACTTCCTCTACCATTACTGACAGTGTACCAGGCTGAAGGCACATTTTTGCCTTGACTCTGCTCTTGTCACAGCAGCCTTTCTATGTGATCAGAGCACCTCCCTAAGACAGGGGGGTCCAAACGTTTTTTCAAAGAGGGCCAGATCTGATGAAGTGAAGGGTCGTGACCAAAGGGCCGACCAAAATTGTTAAACTTTTTTTAGGAATGAAGGAATGAAGTAGTTGTTGAGCTTTTTTTAGGGTTGAAGTTGTTGAGGATTTTACCCCAGGTAAACTGCCACAGGGCCCCTGGAACAGACTTTGGACATGCCTACCTGCCTGTCCTAAGTAGACAAGACTGTGGCCAGATCAACTGAAATGAATCCAGAGCAGGCAATGGCCCTTCCAGGTGTGAAGATCATTAACTGGTTGACAATCCATCTCTATTATGTTCTCTCTGGTTCCATTAAAAATGTGTAGTGTTAAAAAAAAATTGTAAAAAAAAATAATAATTGCAAAGAATATATTTAATGTGCATGATTTCATAATATCATGTATTCTTATGCAAAAAGCCAATTACAGCTTCAGAAGTGTTGTATATACTTCTTAGGTGCCCTTAGTAACCATTATATTTTTAGCTGTGCGTCAGATTACAGGAGGGAAAATAATAATATATAAGCTTGGATATTGAACTGGGATTTTACATTCCAATGATTAACAAATAGATTCTGGTTTTCGATAATGTTTGCTTGGACATGTCCTTCAGGCTTGCTTTTACAAGTGTTGGCAGTGATGCCCATATCCCACCCATTTTTAAATTGTCACGAAACATAGCTGGTTTTCTGATTTTTAAAACTTTTAAAATTTCATGCTATTTTTATCTTCTGTCCTAAGCTGCTTTCAGTGTGCATGTATTTAAAGTATTTTAAATAACAGTGCTGCCTATTTACAATATTATTTTTTCGGATAACTGTGGTCTGCTGCTTCCAAGACTCTTCCTGCTGCAATTAAGCTCCATTTCTTGGGCAGTGGAAGCCTTTTCTCCTTCATGGTTCTGGGATTTAAAGTGAAATGAAGCTTGACCTTGCGAGGGCCATTTTAATTTGTTTTACTTAGAACAGCTCCTTGACTAATGTGCCTCCATAATTGCAGTTCCACAAAGGTTGCCTCCTCTGCCTTTGGAAGCTCAGGCTCTGGGAGGAAGGCCTTGCTTGGTCAAGCTTTGCCAATCCAATACTCTCCATACATTTGGAACCACGATTCCCATCGGCCCCAAGCCTGGTCATCAGGAGCCTGGTCCAGTTCCATACCCTCCAAGTGTCCCAGTTTTCCAGGGACACTTGTGGAACTACAAAAGCCACCCCAGTTTTTGATTTGATCCTGGAATGCCCCTATTTCCCCTACCAGAGCTGCCACCACTGAGCTCAGGGAGGAGGAGGAGCTGGTGCTTGTCCTGAGCAATGGCAGCAGCGCACGGGAGCATCCTGTTGCCTTGCCATGGCCGCCACTTCCAGCTTCCTCCCTAGGGCAGCTCATGGTGGCTGCTGGACAGCAGGTGAAGAAGAGGAGAGGCTGGAGGAAGCGTTGTGCTGGATCTGAGGGGCAGGCAGAGGGCAGGGCCACCAGGGGGAGTGAAGTGGGGCTCAAAGAGCCTTGATCCCCCCCCCCATTAAAAGTGCTTTGTGTGCCCACATCTAATCTTGCCCATTTTGCAATGTATTTATTGGTGTGTGTTTTTCTTTTAGCAAATCTACCAAAGAATAAAACAAAACAAAACTGGGATTAAGGGGTTTTCTCAGGATGTCACAGGTTGCTGCTGTGTCCTGTTGGTGTCGTGGTGGAAGCGCTCGCCCTTCTTCTGATAGGAAATGCTCTGCGGGGGGTGGGGTGGGAACACACAAAAAATGTGGGGGTCAAGGAGGGTCAGTCGGGGGCGAGTGAGAAATGTTCCTACTTTCATCTGAGGAACGTTGGAGGCAGGGCTTTTTTTTAGCTGGAATTTGTGGGAACCCAGTTCTGGAACCTTTTTCATTCTAAGAGAACAAGGGAGGTGGTCATGGTGAGTTCCAGCACCTCTTTTTCTAGAAAAACAGCACTGGTTGGAGAGTATGCAATTCCCAAGCTGGTAGCAACAAGTCCAGGCTTGGTTCCTCCACCAGCTCTGAGTTGGGACCATGAGTGGAGGCAAATTAGAAATATGGGAGGCTGCCTTATATACTGAGTCAGATCCTTGGTCCATCCAGCTAAGGATTGTCTGCACTGATTGGCAGTGACTCTCCAGGGTTTCAGGCACGGGATTTCTCTCAACCCTTCCTGGAAATGCTGGGAATTGGACCCAGGAACTTCTGCAGGCAAAGCAGATGTTCAGCCACTGACCTATGTCCCTTCCCTTAAAAATAAAGTAAGATTTCTAGTTTTCATGGCTCTGCATAAAGGGCCGATTTAAATAAGAAATTTCCTCAGACCCTTGGTCCATGTTGCCACCTGAGGCAAACCATAAAATGGCACCACCAGCAGGGAAGAAGCAGGGAGTGAAGATCTACATTGGGAACAAAGGGGGTGGGGAATCAAATCTGTCTTACCCGATGGCTGAAGTTGGAATCAAAGCCCATTGTGGGGGGAAAGGTGTCTGCTCTGAATCACGCTGGGCAGATGCAGCTTGGGAACTGCAGGGCCATATCTGCCACTCTTGTGGATCCTGCTGCCTGAGGTGGCTACCTCACATTGCCTCATGGGTGGACCGGCCCTGACTGGCAGTGGCTCTCTGGTGTTTCATGCCTGGGGTGTCTCCCAGCCGTACCTGGAGATGCTGGGGATTGAACCCTGGGCCTTCTGCATGCAAGGCATATGCTCCACCACTGAGCTATGGCCACCGTGGGAAGCAGGCTGCTGGGCTAGAGGGACCTTTTGAGGTCTTCCCTAGCCCTTTCTTCTTGAGGCACCATTTTGTAGTTCTCCTCAGGTGCCAAAATGTCTTGGGCCAGCCCTGGCAATCTTGGAAGGGGAACTGAGGACAGCCAGGGTTGTGTGTGTGAAGGGTGTCTCTATGGTGGCAGGAGGACTCCACTTCTGGGGCACATGGCTTGGCTGTGCTTTCCCTTTACAAAAGATACGGGGGCACTCTGAGGTGAGAATCAATTATCTGCAGAGCGTTGGAGCTATTCCAGTTCCCTGGCAAATGTTTCAGGCAATTAGAACCTATTTTGGTTCCTAGAAAAGCAATTTCTTACATACCAGCCTGCTCTATTAGAAGCACTTCAGTGCTAATTGAAAATATCTTTTGTAATAAATACTCGTGGAAACTTGTATGTGCTGCAGCAGCACAGGACATTTTCTGCAGCTTCCCACCCACCCTCCTTATCATCTTAGCATCTTCTGTTGAAAAAGTGAAATGAAAATGCAAGCAGGATTCGAAATATGAGTAACAGCTTAGAAATATTAAGATGAATAAATATAGAGATTAAGAGCCAAAGATATGCAGCATTTAAGGGAAAACATAGGACATCATGGAACAGTTGATGGGAGGTCACAAGAGGAGTTCTGTAGAAAAAAAGGGTAAAATTTGAAAATTCAATAAATAAAAGTTGGAGGAGGTGGAGAACAAGTCTAGTACCCACTAAGGAAGAATGGCAGTGTAAAATGTTTGAGTATGCTGATCTGGCTGGTCTGACGAACAGGATAAGAGACAACGAAGATGAAGGATGGACAAGGTTTATTGACTATTTCAAGACAAATACATAGCTTAGCAGTAAATCCAGCAGAGTTGAAATAGATTTTTAATAGCATTTAATATTTGAAATAGTATTTAATAGATAACAAACTGGATGATTAAAAAGAAGTGGATTACGCAGAGTAGTGGAAAAGCAAAGGAACTAGGAAAAGGGTGGAAGGGAAGTCATATGGTATATGTATACATGCTGTATTTGGTACGAAGTTGTAAGTGGGGGAGAGGCAGGGGAGGGGGTTAAATATGCTCTATGTTCCTGTTTTTGAAAATGCATTTTTAAAAAAGAAAAATCAAAGTGTGTATTCCTTACATTGCAAGGTCATTTATCCATCTGGTTTGCTGGATGTGGGGCATGTTCAGAGAAATAATAAACTCTTCTCATTAGCTCCCAACTCTTTTATTTAGAAAAAAATATAATCTTATTGTCCTGTTGAACACAAGGGGAGTAGAAGTGACATATACTTGGAGTCCTGCAGTGATTTCATGCTCTTTATTGCAGCTTGTAGAACAGTGATTGAATTTCCCCCCAAACCTCAGGGGGTTGCATTCTACGATCCTACCAGCCTAATAGGCTGATTAGCTTTCTCCTGGGGTCTGATTGGGCTGCTGCTGCAAGCCAATCAGTTGTTGCATTCTAGGATCCTACTTGCCTATTGTTCTAGGATTCAAGCTTAGTACATAACAAGAAGTGATTCACATGTATGGAGCCTCCCTGTTCAAAGCCAATGGATGTCTGAATAACAGCTGCTAGGTTGAAACAGCTGGAGAGGACTCATTACCTTCTTGCCTTGGCCATTGACTTCTTAGAGGCATCTGGTTGGCCACTGTAGAAAGCAGAAGGCTAAACCGGATGGGCCTGTTGATTTGCCTGTGAGGAGCCATACATAACTCAAGTTAGAACATTCACTTTGTTTGTAAAAGCTCCCAGCTTTAATTCCCAGTATCTCCAGCTAGGATGGGGGAAAGGCTCTGGTTTCAGTGGAACGGACTACCTTAGAAGGTGGTGGGACTCTCCTTCACTGGATGTATTTAAACAGAGGTTGGCTGGCCACCTGCCAGGGATTCTTTAGCTGCGATTCCTGCATTGCAGAGGGTTGGGCTGGATGACGCTTGGGGTCCCTTTCAACTTTACAACTGTGTGGTTGGCATATCGTAACTGGCATATCGTAACTGGCCTCCTTTAGCCAAATCCTACTGAATTGTAGCTTTCCAGTTCATTGTTTTAGGAACATGGGAGCATCTAGCTCAGTATTGTTGACTCTGTCTGGCAGTAGCAGCTGCCTGGAAGTCTGTCTCAGTCGTACCTGGTGATGCCACTGGGGACTGAACCCAGGACAAAGCAGTTGCTTTGCCATTGAGCTGTGTCCCTTCGCATGGCATTTAGCCTCAAAGGTGAAGTCTGCCCAGACTGAGGGCAGAGCACCAAAATCAAAGCACCTTTTTCCTTCAAGGTCCTTGACAACACCTGGAAGCGTAACACTCCGGCATGGATACTTCTGTGGGTAGGATGACACTGCCCTTCACCCCCTAGGACCATAGCTCAGTGATAGAGCAACTGCTTTGCATGCAGTTCAAGGTCCAATGTCAATCCCTAGCATATCCAGTTATAGCATGGGCAGCTGCTGCCAGCCAGTGTAGACAATACTGAGCTAGACGCACCAGTGACCCAGCTCTGTATAAGGCAGCTTCCTACATTCCAGAGTGATCCAAGCATTCACCCTGAAACTTGCTCTGATACTTGCTCTACAGAACACAAGGCCTCCTAGTAGACAGAACACCACAGACTCTGAAAAAGTTGGGATGTGACTGCCTGAAACCCTTTCACAGAAGCCTTGGAAAAGCTTGCAAATGGTGGAAAAAAAGATAGATTTTTTTATTTTTATTTTGCACTGGGAGATTTGTCATCTATGTTATCCTGATAGAAACAAGGGTATGCATGAAGGCAATCAACTGTGAGATGCACAGACCGTTTCCATCCCTGACAGCCCTCTATTCATAACTGAAAATAGAAGGAAATAATTAGTAATCAGAGAGGGGAGCTTAATCTTTTAATTCTCCAGCTGTTGTGCTGATGGGCCCTGAGCTTGAATTGGAGGCGCAGATCCATCAATGCAAAGGAAATAAAAACAATGCAGCCTTGCACACAATGGGAGGGGGAAACGGATGTGCTCTCTGCTTCACTGCCATTTATCTAAATGCAACGCAGGCTCCCAAAACCTGTCCTAGTGGCAGGGTTTATTGCAGGCATGGAGAGCTTGACAGGAGAAGGCACAGCCTCAGTAGTAATGGATGCTCAGAGGCTAGAGAGATGTCGCAAACGGGGAGGAACTGGCTCCATCTGCGTTCCTCAGTGCCTGATTTGATGGTCCCAGATGTGTTTGCAGATCAGAACATAAGTCCTGATTGGATGATGTTCTTCTCTGCAATGCAGTTTCAGTGTGCAGAAGTAGAAATGTTGTGCTTAAAAGTGCATATTTTACGGAAAAGTGCATCAAAATATTTTCCCCAGCTCTGTACAGGGTCTTGAGTGATCAAAGTACTCTCTGGAATAACACCAGAATTGACAAATGCAAAAGTGATGTCCAAGGTGGGCCTTGGACAATGCCGAGGTAATAAGGAAAGGGGTAAGGTCAAGGTCAGGAAACAGGGGCACAGTTGAGAGATGAGGTTAACGCAGTGGAGTCAAAGGACATGTCCAATAGGTGCAATTTAGTCAAGGTCTGAAGCCAGTACATAGGTGAAGTTGTAGCAGCTCTTAGAATCATAGAATCATAGAATCATAGAGTTGGAAGAGACCACAAGGGCCATCGAGTCCAACCCCCTGCCAAGCAGGAAACACCATCAGAGCACTCCTGATATATGGTTGTCAAGCCTCTGCTTAAAGACCTCCAAAGAAGGAGACTCCACCACACTCCTTGACAGCAAATTCCATTGTCGAACAGCTCTTACTGTCAGGAAGTTCTTCCTAATGTTGAGGTGGAATCTTCTTTCTTGTAGTTTGGATCCATTGCTCCGTGTCCGCTTCTCTGGAGCAGCAGAAAACAACCTTTCTCCCTCCTCTATGTGACATCCTTTTATATATTTGAACATGGCTATCATATCACCCCTTAACCTCCTCTTCTCCAGGCTAAACATGCCCAGCTCCCTTAGCCGTTCCTCATAAGGCATCGTTTCCAGGCCTTTGACCATTTTGGTTGCCCTCCTCTGGACACGTTCCAGTTTGTCAGTGTCCTTCTTGAACTGTGGTGCCCAGAACTGGACACAGTACTCCAGGTGAGGTCTTCTAGCCTAGCACTGGAGCTTCTAGAAACACACCATGACCCCTTGTCTGACTGGTATCAGCAGTCCCCCTCCAGAGGAGGATCTTACTCCTGAGGAGACCTTGACTCTTGAGGAGTCCTTGCCTGCCAGCCATTTTTTTAAAAAACTTGATTTTGAACATGGTTGCTTTTATACAGACTCTCCTCTCTCTCTCTCTCTCTCTCTCTCTCTCACTCACACACACACACACACACTTCTTTTTATTAGGATCTTCAAACTGCTTAGAGATTTATGCTGAACTATGACTAAGTAAACGTATAATTTATCAGCCCCTGATGGAGCATTCTGTACTGGTTGGGACAGATAGGAGCTGTATTCCAAAACATCTCAAGGGCACAAAG